AGGAAAAGAACTGGAGGGAGAAAGGTTTGAGATGTAAACACAGAGCTGTCCTTTAAACTATCATTTATCTCCTCCACATAGTCCACCACTATAATATCCAGTTCCACTGCTATGCAGATGCCAACCAGCTCTAGGTCTCCTGAAAGCCAATCGGCACAATTTACTTTCTCTCTAAAACCAAAAACGTTCTCTGATAATCCACAGCTCTTTAATCTCCCCTTGTGTTATAAGAAAAGGGTCTCGGAAACATTCAGAATGATTCTTTTTAGTTTGAAAAATACAATTATTTGGTTTTCTATTTTTAGCCTTCTCTCCTTAAACCGCCTCAGTCTTCCTCTTTCTGCAAACTGGACCTGATTTAGAGAGATGCAGCTGTTTTGTATCTCAACATTTAACTGTCAGAATGTGGAGAAATAAAACATAAATGTGCCGACTCCTCTCTAGGATGAAACAATGACAACTAATTCAGCATTTTCAACGAATATTTTAATGGTGAACTGTTAAAAGAATCGAATCCTTGTGACCTATACTAGGGCACACTTGCACAGCAGGACGGAACGGTGACAAGTTAAATACATTGGCACAAATTAAATTAACCTATGATTAATTTTCTTTAGCAATGGTTTGTAGATATTCATCTCCATAAAATGCACAAACCTGACGTGCCAAACGGTAGACATATTCAAATTGTCTTTCCAAGTCATGTCTAGAAACAAAGACTGGAACTGGAAAGTGTCAACACTGTGGAGAAAATACCCAGAGCTCAGCCAGGATGCTCTCCTGTTAAATTACAGGCCTCTGGCAATAAGTGTTCCATGTTTATACTCCCAGTCTACTACTGTCTGTAATTTATAGCACTATGCTGTATTTATAAACACCCTGGCTGTATTTTAAGCTCTCCAGAAGCATGGGTAAAGGACTGACATCCATAAGAGAGATGCTGAAACTGTCCAAGGGAAGCTGCTCTTAAGCTCAGTGCCTTTACAACCAAACATCTAAAATGCTGTTTAATCTTTAATAAGCGTGGCTGGGTCATCCAGCAAGCCTTATCAGATAAAGTCAAAAAAAAAAATGTTTAGAAGGAAATTGTGACATTAATATCATGGAAACCAAGTTTAGCTGCGCTGTGGAAACCTGGCAGTTGGTTGTTTCCTCCTCTACTTATCAAGGCTGCCCAGCAGACTGTGGCCATGAAGCCAAGAGGTCACGGTCAGCATCCTTATCGCCTTGTGGCCCTGTCCTCGCACACAAACAAGAGGAGGCTGCGGTGATAACAGAGCAAACGGTAACAACGCTGGAAAAATAGAAACAAAGTCGGCTTCCTGGCATTAGGGGACGGATGATTAATGCTTGGATGCAAAGAAAACAGAAGTTTGTTTGTTAGGACAGGTATCATGACAGGAGTAAAAATACACACAGATCAAGTATGAAAACAAAGAAAGAAAAAAAGAGTAATCTAACAATATAAACCCTCCAATGGTAATGGATAGAGAAGCACTAAAACAGGCAATGGTTAGCAGGAGTTCACACAACTGGGGCAGGTGTTAAGAGAAACAACAGAGTGTAGAAAAATATATCTGTCGACTCGAACACTAGTCGTGCACTTTTGCACATGTATAGGTCAATTTTTCTAAAAATAACTGCTTTTTTCTTGAATGAAGCATCTGAGACACTAAGAAAATTAACATTTGAAATAATTAAAAAGATTACATTCTCTAATTTCAAATACACAATATATAATTATCTTATTTTTAGGGTAAAAATACTAATTCCATTTACTGATCATCTTATTTACCACCTCAAATTAAAGGTAAACACACTTATTCTAAGACACTTTTACTTCTCTTTAGTGCAAAATCTACCTGTCCATTGATAAATCAACAGATTGATTTATTAGAATGTGACAAACTGTTCAATAGAGGATACACTAACATTAGAAGACAATAAGGAAAATAAGCAGTTGTACATTTCTAGTGAAATAATATATACTTGTATCGGATAAAAAAAAGAACAAATTGGAAGATTTTTTTATATTTTTTTTAAACCTTGTTTAAGTTGAATTTGTTGAGAAAACTTTAAAAACTGGCCAATTTCACCAACATTATAAAGAACAAACTAATACCTGTAGATTAAAGTATAGTAGATTCCTGAGTTGTCAGAAAGATGAAGATCAGAAGAATGATTAAAAGAAACAGTGAAACAGTTTCTGCTTATCGTTTGGTCTCAGATTATTTTAGAAAAGTCAATTCACACCAGGTAAGCCCACTGTTACAACCCCCTTAGCATAGACAGGATTCTGCATGACTCTTTTTATTCTGCTCTTTAAACTTTAAAATGCAAAGTCAAAACCACTCTGCAACACTGAATGACTATTTGATAGTGAAAGTCAAAGCTGCCTTAGACAAAAGGAGCAGAGGAACTGATTTACAGCCATAAAATCTATCCAGATGGTTTATATATAATTCTGGTCATAAATGGGTTAAATTAGTAGCTAGATCTCTTTGGGAATTCCCACAGTAAAAAAAAAAAAAAAATCACAATCTTAATCAGTGAAAGTCACAGTGCAGCAGCTGCATCGGAGGCTAAAACAAGCAGCATCAAAGAGGAATCAATCTGGAACTTGTTGTTTTTTTGTTGATAGATCAATTTCCAGATGAGAAAATCCCTGCAAAGATTTTGGCCTTTTCTCTTTGTTTAAATAAATAAATAAAAAAAAAAGCATTGTAACTGGTGAACAATGTTGTTTTCAAAACAGGAAACTCTGGAAGTTTGTTCACTCCTAAACATGCAGGACAGACTCCCATGAACTAAGATGAATGGCTGAACTGACTGCTGTAAAACAGCACAGGACAGACCGGAGGGACCATTTCCTTCATCTGTGGTATCATTTCATTACAGACAAGTGCGTGCTTTTAGGTTAAAAAGTTAAAAATAAAATCTTTTAACAGCTAATATTGAAGGATAAATTGAATCAAGCATGTGTTTTACGTCCTAAAATACACTCAACAAAAATATTTCCCTCAAATATTCTACACAAACCATTCTAAATCTATGAACCATCTGTGATAGTGAGCACTTCTCCTTGGCTGAGACAATCCACCCCACCTCACAGGTGTGCCATATCAATATGCTAATTAGATGCTAATTTACCATTAGTGAACAAGTGTGCCTTAGGCTACGTTCACATCGCAGCCTGAAGTTACCAAATCCGATTTTTTTGGCCCATATGTGACGTGGATCTGATCTTTCCATGACAGTCTGAATGACATAGATCCGATTTTTTCCAATGCGACCCAGGCCGCTTGGCTATGTGGTCCTGAATCCGACATGAATCCGATCTTTTCAAATGCGATCTGTGTCTGAACGCCATTAATACCCGACAAAGGTCACTATTCTGGGTCTTGCTATGAAGAAGCGGCAAGAAAAACAACAACCATGGCAGACGATGATGGTGGAGAGCAGTATTTATGTTTAACCATCCAGAAAAGATTGTGTTTGTACAGCTGGGAAAGATCGCTAGATGCACTCCAGTAAAACCATCCATGTTTACTTCCTGCTTGTCACGTCATCCCGTCCTCTACTGCGCATGCGGGATACTTGCGTTGTATGACTGCAGTTCATACAGGAGATCACATACAAGTCGCATATATTTGGAAATGTTAACAGAAACGCAAAAAAATCGGAACTGAGCATCAAGGCCTGCAGTGTGCATGTAGCCTTAGACTTCCCATAATAAAGATCCCGGGAGTGTTCGATTTCAGAGGCTGCATCCTCCAAGGACCCGGTCTACCTGGACTGGATCCTACGAGGTCCTTAAAAATAAGGATGCCGGAAGAGTTTTGGCTGTGAATTCAGCCTTTTCCAGCTACGCTCCGTCACCTACCAACCATGACAGATGACACACAAAGCAGGCAAAGAATGGACACTGAACTTCTTACTACTGTTTTGGGTGCTAATAACATTGTAATCTCAGATATCCTATTTATAGTCCCAACACTGCAAAGATATTGGAATCTAAGTGTCAGCGAAACGTATTTGCACCGGCAGAGATAAAACCTTTCAATGAACCAAACATTACCCGCCACATATCTGACTCACTAACCATTTAAAAAGGTATTTTTATTAATTTCAGATGGCACTATTTAAATACTTGTATTATATTAAACTGCACTTAAAATGTTTACCGCTGTTCGGCGACATCTACCTTTCTCTTCTGAGAGGGGAGCAGCCGGCTTGCTTGGACTAACAATGAATCATGGAATAGCCAAGGCTAGGGAGGATACACCAGACAATCCTTCAAAACAGCTGCATTTGTCAGCCGCATAACGAGGAGTCTTCCAATCCGAACAGGTTTCGGTGCGACACTATGCCTAATTGTGAGATGCATCTGGCCTTTGGAGGAAGCAGCCGCCGAATTAGAAGTCAGCACCCATGGATATACAGTAGACCTAGGTGCCACGTCATATTATTACCCCACGGAAAAAAATGTCCTGAATCACAAGACAAGAGATCGACTTGAAGGAATTCAGTATCTATAAAGGTCTCAGATAAATTTGTAAGGGGTTAGAGAAAGCATTGATTGAGCCATATTGATTTTAAAATGTGTGGTTCCCCTACAGAATAAACACACTTAAATTGTTGATCGTCTTACATTATGTTTAAAATAAGAGTAAATGACATATTGTTCATATCTGTAGCTGGAAAATGTGTTTTAATTTAGTCATAGAAGCCAGCCTTCCAACTGAACAACCTAAAACTGAATGCATAATTTATTCTTGGAGATTTCTCAAATACATTGGATGTTATCCTTAATGCCAGGTCAGAGCAACATATGGGAAAAATACCTCTGCCAAAACCAAACAGCAATGAAGGTATTTGCATTTGCTCATGTGCTAATTGCACATTTTCTAAAGAACATTCTTATCATTGTTGTATTAAATACAAAAAAAAAAAAAAAACACCTAATATAAATCTTAGGTCAGTGGGGCAAACCAACATACCAAATCTGCGGCAGAAGACTCCCATGACGGCGCTCTCCTCCACCACCCTCAGGTCAGCCAGCAGTGCCAGCTCCAACCCTCCAGCCACAGCAAAGCCACTCACCGCTGCTATCAGCGGCTTGGACAGCTGCAGACGGGACGGACCCTGGAGGAAATAACAGCATCAGCCTACCCATGCATACACACAGCATAGCACTGTATGCTAATCCAAACAGCTGAAGTCATCACTCAAGATGTAAACGGCGTAAACAAGGTGATCACTGCCCCAGATCGTGCACATCATCACCGCTTCCCAACGATTGATGCTTTTTACCCTGTTTGGTAAATTGTTCCAGCTTCATTTTCTAATTTATTTCTCAGACTGTCAAACAAATGCAGAGCGAGAGGATTCAGCTTTTGACCGCAGCTGAACAAATGAAGCGGTTTATTTTCCCTGTTTGTGGTACAACGGTGTCATTTTCTGCATAGGAGGTCCGCTCAATCCCAGCGACCCGCAGTCCAGGCATCCCTTATGGAAACTTAAATGATCCCATATATTTTATTAATATACTGTTAATCCATACCAAATGTTACAACAGTGCAAGAAGCTACAGCGCTTTGAAAGAGTTGGCCATTTAAAGCATGCATTAAAATTACGAAAAAGGTGTTACTTTATTGTATATCATGTACCATGTCTGTTGGTTGTGCTGTCCTTTCTACCGGTACATCTCTTTGCAGGTAATGAAGCAGACTGAAAATGTTTTCTCATTATCTCCCTTTTATCTCCTCTTTCTTTCATCTTTTCTCCTTTTTTTTCTGTTTTTCCTCTTCTGTTCTACTTACAGTGCAGTGTCCATATAATCTGTAAAACTCCCTGCATAATTATAATAAAGCTATTTCTATGCATGAAGCAAGCGGAACACTGTGGCGATAGCCGTACTGCTCCACTTGTAAAAGGAAAATCTTTCGGGCTCTTTTCGGCATCAAGACAATTATTCTTATTGCCACATTGCCAGACAGGACACTGCAAAAAAAAACAAAAAAAAAACTATTACCTAATCTGGTCGGGAGGAACACACAAACATCTTTTCCATCAACAAAGGCAAAAAAAATAAAAATTCCTTTTGCTCACTTTAAAAAAGAAAGCTAAAACCCGCACACCCATGTTAGTTTGACATCATTGGTCAGAAACATTTTCGTATTGAGGTTGATGCATCTGTTGGCTTCTGAAAAGATGTATTTTTGGGAATTTGAGAATTTATAAATCTCGCAGCAAATTTATCTTGCTTGCAAGGTAACCAACACCATGGAATCAAATGCAAACGAATAGCTACTCAGCAGGACATGGAGTTCAACATTCCTAGGATGTTTTCATCAGGAATGTTTAAGCAGGTAAATCTGAAGTATAACATGAAAACTGCTATTCAAAAAGAACCCATCGGATACAAGTTAGACTGAGCTATTTTGCAAAAATTAAGTAATTAAGTATTTTATTTGTAGAAGCTCGAAAAGAAATGGATAATTTAATTTTATCTCTAAATAAATAGTAACCTTGTAACAGAAAAGCAAAAATAAAATCAATGAAAGCTTGTAGCTGTAATGGCAGAAACATACATAGGTACTGTCAGATATTCCCACACTGCAAGAGGCATCTTTAGACCCAACTCGTTTTCTCAAACGTCTAAAAATAAAATAAAAAGAACAATTAGTAGCAAGCAGAGGGGTTTGGATTTGAAGATTTACATGATACTAAAAAGCAGAACTAAACCTCACAAGTACACACATGCAGTCACAAACCAAACACTGCTCACCATTGGGCCAGGACCCTTTGTGACATCTTGCTCCAATTTAAGGGGGGCTTTTTGATTGGCCAGCATTTTCAGATCATAACCAGCGCAGAAATTCCCTCCTGGAAGAGACCACAAAATTACAAAGTATGGCAGGGAGGAAGGGAAATGATGAGGATGAAAAAAAAAAAGGCTGCAATTTGGCTTGCAGCTTGCTTTCTCTTGGCTTGCTGGCACACAAATCCTTCTCTTCCCTAAAGGATGTAAAGTTGATGCATATAAGCACAGACCAGACCGTGCATGTGCTCACATGCATCATACTCTCATTAATGGACAAGTAATGCCGTGGAACCACGGATCTCTTCCCCTGGATTCATGTGGTAATTACAACATCCCCCAAGAGGCAAACAAACTCTATGTCACCGTCTAAGGCAGGCACTCATAAAACCCTCCTCTCTCTGTAATGTGACAACATAAGTGCAAGCAACACCCATCAGCTGGGAGCTCTGATTGCAGCTGTGGGTCAGCACAGGGCTGTTATAGAAAACCTGTGTCATCCTGTTTATGGGAGTAAATGACTGTCCTTGTGTGACAACTGTGACCTTTTAACGAACTGAGCAAGAGCTGAACGTTTTATATATATTTTATATATATATATATATATATATATATATATATATATATATAAAAACTTTGAGCTCTTGCTCAGTTCTTTG